TCTCAGGTATGGTCTGACCAGTCCTCCTTCTCTTCCTGTTGCTCCTCCTCTGATAAAGAGGATAAAGAAAATTTCTTTTAGCAAGGTCACACATTTGTTTTTAGACGGAAATATGAACTACTTATGTTTTCTAGTCTCAGTGCTAAAATACTTTAGTTACTGAAAGGAAAAGAGAAAATTTCTTTTATGTATGTGCTTTTTGTCACTATGGGTGATCATTCTGCTGCATGTGTTTTAAGTCTATGCATTATTTCTCTTAATACTCTGCAGATTTCAGGCTAATTGGGTCTTTTTTTCCTCTTTTAATGACTGCAGCCTGAGATCTAACTAGAGTTAGGTGTCAAATATACATGAATTAGTATAATGTATTATTTATTTAATTACAAGCACTTAAAATCTATTTTTAGAATAGAAATTATCCCAAAGCAACTTATAATCAATATAAACAATTTAAAATAAAAACATAATAAATATTATTCAAATGCAAAGACATTTCTTAGGATGCTTCCCACGAGGTAAATGGTAACAGCAATGACCTTGTTGAGGAAAGGATTCAGTTGGTGAAGCTTTCATAGTAGCTACTGCCTGCCTTTTTGCTCCCTCTTCAGGGATATTTCTCACAGGGAATTTGGTAATAATGATCTTGAGAAAGTAGGAAGAGAGTTTAGTCAAGTTGGCTTCTATGATGTTTAGCATTTTAAAAATCCATAATGTCTTTGAACATACTGTATTCTGAACCTAAGAATTTGTTTTCAGTATCTCAACTGGATTGGATTTTAACCTATTTTTTTCACCACACTTTCTTTTTTAGCATCCTAATTTAAGCAAAACAAGATCATTTTGTTGCCGATTTGTCAAGAGTACTGTCAGATCTATGAATTTTTCAGTACTGAATATTATGACAACTTATTTGGGGGGGGGGAATGTCAATGCAGGTAACAGCCACCATTGTTTTTGCTGTCACAGTAATAAACTTATATTTTGTTGCCTCTGTAAAGTATATCAGAGCAGGCTTGTATGCACTGAAAACCTCAGGCAATGGAACATCTTTTTGACTTTATTTTGCAAAGCAGATTCATGACAAGAATTAGGAACTCAATCCTCCTGGAATGTGATATTTACTCTTAATGCATTCTTGAAAAACTGAATTTTATGTCTGAAGGGAAGAAACATGCGGCATTTCCATTTAAGTCAGATATTAAATATGCTCATGTACACGGCATTCAGGAGCTGGCCTGTTGTACTCTTTTGAAAAATATGATCTTGAAAATAATTAAGATAGCAAATTAAGAAAAAAGATAGTAAACAAAACTACTGCTTCCCAGAAGAGAGCCTGAATTCAGTTGTCCATATGTGTGAGAGAAAAAGAGATATTAGATCATTAGCTTCAGTATCTGGAAGGACTGGATTGGCACTAATCATTTCCCACCACAGGTATCTGAATCAGAAGGCACAAAGAATAAGGGCTGCTGGGATTTTTCTTCTCCCCATATCAACTATATATACAACCTGCTACTTTTTTTTCATATACAAAGCATAGAACAAGAAAGAACACCAATAAAATGCAATTTTACAATATTATTGTAGGACCTTGGAAGAAAGTAGCTTTCTGTCTCCTCCCCTTGCCTCCCAGTTCTTGTAGGGAAAACCTCAAAGCCATTCCTATTAACATACCGTAATAACATTTTCTGAAGCAGCAGGTCTGGCAACAATCTGTTGCAAGCAGAAGGCAGGAAAGATAGGAGGAAAATCCTTCTCAGCTTGACAGTACTAAGAGCCAAAAGTTATTAAGAAAGGGCTCAAAAGAGAGTTGTTTTAAGCCACTATTATTCCAGATAAAGATATGTTTTATTAATTGCATATCATCCTTAAATACTTTGTACATTATTGTTTCTAAAAGGATTTTTTTCCTCCCCTACCCTAGTCTTACATGCACAGGTAGACAAAAGATCACCGCATCAGGTCTTTATTTAATGGGAAACTACTAGTTTCTACTAGTGCAACCTTTACCAGGAATCAGAGCTGGGTTGAGGCTAAAAATGGAAATGATTGTTCTCAGGTTATGATTCATTTCATCAAATGCATTCTTGGATTCAGTATATTTTATACTACAGTACCGAGTACAGGGATACAGTTCCAGTTTCAAATAGCAAAGAAATAAATAGATATAATAAAGATAATGTGTATGTCTGCAAGAGAGATGAGATGTGTTCTTGTTTTGGATGTAGGATGATGCTACTTGATGTTCACAAGATAGACAGCCATTTGTCTGACAGGGTATACATATTCCTATCTCAGGCAGGATCTGATTAAAGCATGGCTGGATAGCATATAGGCAAGGATGTTACCCAAAACTCTGTCAATTTCTGCTACTTGGAAAAACTGTTTCTTCCTTTAAAATTAAGTAGAAATAGCAGATTCAGCAACTGGAAAATAGTGGGATTTAACCACCTCTGGCATTATTTTCATAGCTATATGTTGATACCAAAAAGAGCCAATGAATTTACAAGGGATCAAATCTATATTATATTGTGTGGAAACAATATGCATTTAAAAGCAACAAATTAACAAGCCTGCCTGCCTGCCTGCCTTCCTTCCTTCCCTCCCTTCCTCCCTCCCTCCCTCTTTTTTCCCATTACCTTCTCTTTCTCTAAGTTTAGTTTATTAGTTTTTACTACTGTAATTAAAATTCTTAATAAAAATTACATTCAAATTTCCTAGATGCAGTGCATGTTTGTTTTACACTGACAGTTACTACTCTTTTGTATGACATTTAATCTTGATTCCTGATTTCATTTCACTTCTACTTGTGTTTCTATCGTTTGTAAGAACTGATCTCTTGCTCTTTGTTGTTTTTTTAACGGTATGCTATCTTTAATAATACTGCCTTGTATTTGCAGGAAATTAGCTGTGTAATGACTTGTTTTTCATTCTAGAAACTATAAGTGTGAGCTTCTGAATGATCCTACCTATATGCATTGTTTCCCATGCCTGGAAAAAGAATGGTTGGCTATCTAGTGCTTAGGGGAAGGCTAATTTTCAGAAATATAATTATGTCCCTATCTTGATACTCATTTTACAAATCTATCAACGAAAGATACCAAATATAACCACAGAAGATTTTTATATAATTTATTATCTTTTAATATACTGGGCTGACTACTAGTACACATTTTTGAGATAGAGAATTTTAATGTATATTGGCCAGGTTGCCTGAACATTTCAGGAAGGAACAGTATTGTAGACTGGGTTAGAAAAAAATGCTTTGATAATAAACTATAATAGGTATATTCTACTAATACTGTTGTAAATGAGTGTCTTAAACTCTTTCACTGGTTTCAGGATTAAGCTATATAAGCAATGCAATCCAAAAGTGAAGAAAATCCATGTTAGAGTCATCTTATGTGACACTAAAATATTTATCACATAAACATTTTGGGTCAGGTCACATAAAATAAATTGAACCAAGACTAAAAACATTATTAAATAAAATTGTAAGTTTAAAAGTTATTAAATATATTGAATTAAGTCTATAAAATATTGAACTCTCTCAAAGAGACATGAATACAACTCTACTTTTTAACCCTTTCTTCCCCTTACAGTTGCCATTTCACAATTTGCAATGGTAGTTGAAGTTTTACATGACAAAATTACTCTGTTGAGTTTATCGTCCATATCTAATAACTTCTCATGTTTCTTGACCTCACTTCCCATATCATACAGTTCCCATTCTCTATTTCTGGGCACAAGCACAAGTAGTAGTTAAATTTCAATATCTTGTGATTGTGCAACAGGAACAGTCCTTCCAGGCATAACACTTCAGAGTCTGGGGAAGAAGACTTCACATATCATGTTTTCCTGATATTTCTATTTTGGAGCTTTTTGTGCCTCCTTAGACAAAACGAAGGGACCCATCTATAAAACATTTAATAAAGTGAAACCAAAGATTTAAAATGGACTACTGTGACTATCTTAGGAAATAGTAAGAGTGGCATTAGAAGGATGACCTCGCTATCTATTTTATTAATGTTGATCCTTTATGGATATTTTATTGTATCATACAATTATGAATTTTTGAATTTTAATTTTATGACTTTTAGTGAATTATTACCTGATTAAGTTTTTTGATATTTCTAAATCAAAACTTACTTAACTGTGGACCATTTTATGTATAGCCCACAAATGAAAACTTACCAGCAGCCATCAAAGGTTGCTGCATCTAAATTACAAAATCATTTAAATGCTCATTTTAAAGGACTAAATGAAATATTCACCTTGTTACTTCACATTCTCTTCTCTATATGAATTATTAACAAAAATATGTTGTGCATAAACATATACAAATGCAGTTTAGCAAAAATACAACCATTTATTCGCCAAAGCCAAATTTTTAAAAATCTGGTTTTGTTTGTAAAAGGAACATTAAGATTATATCTTGCTTTCTGTCACAACATTCACATTGGTTGCAAGGCATACCAATGTTTGCAACAAATTAAGATTACAAATACAAAAATTGATGCATAGAGATCATGATGTGGAAAATATATGAAAACAATCCTGCAATATAGCTTCTCTTAACTTTCAGCCTTGTTTCTTTTATATGAACTTGACATATTAATCAACAGTTTTTTATATTTCTCATACTACAGTTATTTTTTACTTTTTTTCTTATACTGTATATTCAATATTTACAAATAATATGGATCAGTCAAGATTTGCATATTTCCATATTCTAGAAAACTTTATGATGATATATATTTAAAAGCTATGGTTTTAATACTACTTTCATCTCCTGGTAAAAGCTAAATATTTTGAATTTCTTCAATCCACTTTTATTTAATCCTTATAAATCACCATGTTTAAATTCAAAAGTGATGTAATTTAAAAAACATAAAATGCATGTCCAAGACAACAAAATACAAGAGTGAGAAAAAGAGAAAAAAGAGGAGAAATGGCATATAAATATATTATTTATAAATAATATTATAAACCAACATTACCTGGAACAAGCTCCATCACAATATAAATAGGCTGCCTTTGAGTACATACTCCTATAAGTTTTACGATATTGGGATGATCATATTGTTTGAGTATTCTGCAAAGAGGTGGAAAATTTCCTCACATCAATGTAGTATATCATTCTCTAAATGCTCTTTAATTTATCATAAAAAAAGTTTATTCGCTAACATATTCTTCCAGGAAATTTAATGACAAATCAAGTCATGAAAGATTTTTCTTGAATTTTTGAGTGTATCATTTTAGATATATCTTGCTTATAAAAACTGTAAAGATCTAAAGATATTCACTTTATGTACAAAAAAAATCTAGGATAATTTCCTCATTGCTGGTTTCTCTGCCCTCCCCCTGTCCCAGAGAGGCTTAATTCAAGTGACTTCTACATTATTATCAATGTAAGAGCATAAATACTATTAAACTGAAATACATTTTGAAGTGGAAAATATTTTCCACTAAAAGCCACTGAATGACTTTTAAAAATATATATTTTGGTATTTTTTACTTCTTACCTGGCCTCTGATAAAAACTTTATTTTCAGTTCTTGAGGAAGATCTTCTTTACATGTTTTTACAGCAACAGGTGTTTTATCTTTTAATGTCCCTTTATAGACTTCACCAAAGTTACCCTGAAGTTATAGATATTGTCAGTGACGAAAACAGTGAACAAAATCACGTTCTAAATGCATAAAATATCAGAATACCTTAACTCAATGCAGTCATACTAATTTTCTTATATAAGGTCATGTGTCTTAGAGAAGTAGATATTGTTTTTAACACATGAACTAGTGCAATGCAGCAATGTCTTCAGGGGACAAGAGGAGTCAGACTGACATCAATGGAATCATAATATAATTATTGAATTTGCATATGCCTCGAAGGGCTGGAACTCATATTTTAAAATTGTGGTATTTCCCATGTCATTTATATGATGTTAGTATTTCTCAAAAGTGATAATTAAATTGTCAGAACAGTGAGTAGTCAAGTAGGCATGAAGCCAGCTAAGTGACCTTGGGCCAATCACACTCTCTCAGCCCTAGGAAGCAAACCACTCCTAAAATCTTGTTAAGAAAAATGTTGGGGCTGTCCAGGCTGTTGCCAGAAGTCAATCCTGACTCAAAGGCTTGTGCATGCATAAAATACATGCACACACACAATTATTTTAAGTGTTGCCAGAGGATTTTACAAAAAATAAATTAGAGTTAAGAATAATATAAACACATATAATATTGTTTGGAAGAATGCAGCTGCAGTTTTAGCAATCTTCTTGCATGTTTCCTTATGTAATCAGATCATATGAAGAATGTGTCCTCTTTAGAAGAGACTCTATTTATATTAAATTTTATCTCAGTTTAGCTCCAGTATTACTATCTTTTAAAATTATTTTAAACATTTATTAAAATACATTTTTTTAAAAAAAGAATGTTCTGGTACTCATGCAACTCCACAGTAATGAGGTAAAATAAAGATAAATACAAGAAATCTATGGTACAATTCCTCCTCATGTCAGCATCAATGCTCAAGAGGTTTGAGAATAATCACTTCAAATATAACATTATTAAGAGCATATTAAGCCTGAGCATATGACTCTTCTTCAGAATACAAACAGAAAACTGCTACACAAAGCAGCAAAATCAGCTAGAAAAAAATGAAATGAAACCTATCTTTATAATATAGGTTCTATTTCAGAGATCATAATGTGGCTAAATCTTAAAGAAGTAAATCCCATAAAGCAATGTTTCTTATTTTTTTTAAAGATTACAGAATATGTTTCTATATTCAATATGTCATGTTTTTCTTTTAAAATAAAAATAAAAATGTAAATAAATCATATTCTGATATTATTTACTTTCCCTGATATTTAATACATTTAATGAGTGCAACTTTATATTTAATAAGGCAATAAATTAAGTTATTTAAAATAACATCTGCAAACTGAAAAAACTATAATCTTCATTCCTGTTTTTTATTTATACCTCCCTATACTACATATTGCCCTCCATGATCTGGACTGAAATCTGTTTTGAATCCCCACAGTCCAATCCCCACCTGAATAAAAGAGACTATGTATAGCTTAGGGTTGAATTGTGGGGTCCTGGTACTCTCTCAACTAAGTTCGGAGAGCACCAAAGATCTCACAGTCCTTCTTGCTTGTTCTTTCCTGACTTCTCGTGTTGTAGCTGATATTCTGCAAAGATCTCAAACTAAAGAGACACACTGGACTTAAACTAAAACAGGTGATCTATCATGCATTGAGAAGGCTTAATAACTACTGTGTTTTGTAAAAAGGTTTAATATTTAGGAGTTTTGATAGTTACTTACTTTGCCAAGTAATTCTCCCAGAATGACGTCTTCATGATTGAGAATCCATTTTTTATCCTGCAGCAATAAACATTAATATTTAGTTTTTTTAAAAAAAGTTAACATTTCTTATTCATATCACTGGCTTTCTTTCAGAAGTATGATTCAATGAAACTAGACAACCACATACTAACAAGTTTCAGGATAAAGACAGTCATGTGAAATCTGTTAATAAAATTATGGCAAATTCCTAATCAAAGCTTTGGCTCAATATAATATCCTAACAATATATCCATATTATCTTTAATGTATGAATACGTCTATCCTTTTTAAAGATTACTGAAAATATCATTAAAAGTTTATTATAGTACATGCAAAAAGCCCAAATATTTATATTACTGATGAACTGACTATATGCTTGCAGCTGCTTTATGTTCTTGATATAAAAGTTTCAAAGAGCCCTTTTAACAAATTTTACTTAAAGAGCATTTTAGAGATGTATATACATTTTAGTCCAAACAAAAATTGCCACTGCTAGAAAGAATTAAACAAAAACATATTTACCTAAAAGAATTTTGAGGTAATCTTAACATTGTTTCTATATTTTAGCTATATATCTTTACTGAAATATCTCTTACGAGATCAGACATGAAGATATAAATCGAGTACTCTTAGTTTGCATTGAAGCAACCTGCAGTATCATCAACTCTTGTATAAGATCTTGAAGAGATATTACTGAAAAAAATCCAAAGTATTCAATTTAAATTGTATACCAAGGATGCATTCTTAACATCCTATAAAACTGTCAACAGCTTGTAAGTTGGAAGACAGATTCTATGGGTATAAGTCTTAAAGACTATACTGATCATCTAACAAAAAATGTTATTTGTAAGACAGACTATCTGGTTTTAATAAAATACATGGCAGAGAAACAGGTATTCAGTAGATAAAAACAGTGGTATCATTTCAAAGGCACTTGCTATCAGAAAAGAATAAGATGATTTGCATTAAGCAGAATAGCACAAGATCTTTATTAGGCATGCGTCTCTCACTGATTATGCATTTCATAGTATAAAGGAATAATATTAAAGAAAACAGGTAGACAAACCTAGAGATATTTTAAATCAGTGCAATCAAATTAAAGAAACAACTTTAGGAAGATTTGAAGCAATATTACCAATATTTATTACCCCAATTCTTTAAAAAGAAAAATGAGCATTTCTTCAATCACTGAAAAGGAATTATAGCAGACAAATGTTCATTATTCATTGTCCAGTCCTCTGCTGGTTTCTTTTAATTCCTATTAATTTAATTCCTATTTGTGATATTCATTTATCTAACTTAAATCCTGACATACTGCTATATAATTAAAATCAGAACAAAATTAAAATCAGTACTTTAAACCTCAGTTTAAGCACTTGGTAAAAGAGATGGATTTTTCCAATTTTCCTAAATACTAGGAGAATAGAGGGCAAAGGGAGCTGCTTATAAAATGTACTTCATAGGAATACAGGAAAAGACCCTTTTCCATGTACAGGTTAAGCAGGCTTCTGGCAACTGGGTAATCTCCAGATGGAACTTTCCTGCTGTTCTAAATAACTGGACAGATTAAAGAGCAGAGATAATCCCTCAGATAATCAGTTCCTAAACTATTTAGATTGTTAAAATTCAACACTGCTATCTTAAATTGTGCTTGGCAAGTAATTGCCACAATTGTGTTTGTTTTCTTCCATTCAATTGTCACCAATTCTTGGATTTGCACCATATTTAACATACACAATGGCCAAGTCAGACTACCTCAGGATAAATCAAAGCTGGCATATTAATTATAGTTATGAAAAGATATTCCTTGCCGTAGCTTCATATACAAAACAATAACAACTGGGAGCAGAGGAACAATCCCGTACTGTGAACATACCCCTTGCTGGAAAGAAAAACTTTGTCCAAAATAAACTTCACATCTACTTTGAATCCAGTTTTCTCATTACCAACAGTATTGTTCTTTTGTCTGGATTTAATCATTCAAATAAATGATATGGAGATGAATGATAAGGAACAACAGAAAGGGGTGTCACCATTATACTGATGATACCCATTCCAAAGCTGATGACCATATCCAGAGGTACATCCCAACAAGAAGGATCAATCCAACACTCTGGTCCGGATAGAACCTAGCATACTCCCCTAGCCCCTACTTGCAATTGCAACAAGCCCTTGTCAACATACTAAAAGCAATTCACACTTAAGAGTCTGACCAACAAATGCAGCCACACCCAAAGTCATGATGAATACAAACACAAACACACATGTAAGAAGAAAATAAGTACTAGAATAAAAGATGATATGTTTCATGCATTTCCACATTTTATTCACATTTAGTGGTTTAAAATATTTGTTTTAAAGGCACTGTGAAGATGACATTTTTAAGACTTCTTTATGAGAAATATATCTGATGTATAATTATTCAGAACAATAATTAAATACAATTGTACTATAAACTACAATCAAATAAGCTGTAATACCCTATTTATACTGGTACATTAGTCATCATGTCTGCTGCTGTTCCAAAGCCTTTTTACGCAAAAGTTTTATGATATGTCAACATTTTCAGTCCCAGATAATATTTATTTGCAAAAAAAATCATCAGGATGTCCTCAGTAATATATTCAAGGTGCTAAACTTCTAACACTGACTATAACAATTTAAATGGCATAAGAAAATGTTACAGCTGTTTTTACTGGGATATCCCAACTATCACTGGGATAGTCTGGGGGACATATAGTTGGATAGATATTGTTGATTGGGTACCAAGTCTTTCTTGTTTGTTTGTTGGATTTGTTTGTTTTTATTATTACTGGTACCCACCTAGCAATAGCATTGACTTATGTACAGCTTCATAATGCTTAATACAGCGGTTCTCAACCTATGGGTCGCGACCCCATTTGGGGTCGATCGACCATTTCTCGGGGGTCGCCAAACAAGGCGATCCGCCATTTTTCCCCCTCGGGGGGCGCCGCCGCGCATGCGTGCGGCGCCATGCCGTGCATGCGTGCAGCGCCATGCCGCGCATGGGGGCGGCGGCGCGCATGCGCGGCACGTTTGTGTGACGGGGGTCGCTGTCACACAAACGTTGAGAAGCACTGGCTTAATAGCACTCTCTAAGCAGTTTACAAAATCAACATATTGGGTCCTCATTTTACTGACCTCAGAAGGATAGAAGACTGAGTCAAGCTTGAGTCAGTCAGGATCAAACTCCTGGCAATGAGCAGTCAGCCTGCAATACTACTTTCTAATCACTGTCCCAGCACAGTTAAGGTAGAATGTCATAAGATGGGTGGCTATATAAACCTCTTCAATAAAAATAAATTTGTATATGCAAATTTTGCTACCTATTTTCAAATTATTTTCAACAGAAAATGAATACTCTATAAATTAATTCAATTATCCATAAGTAATATTGAATAAAATACCTGTATATGTATTGACCTTAACTATTAAAAGTTGTATTGAAAACTAGTTTTTTCTTTAAGAATATATAAGCTATCCTACAGCAACATATCCTTTTTTATCATAATTTCTAGAAATAATGAGCATTTTCATATTCTTGATTTTTTTTCTTCAGTTTTTCTATTTTCATTCTATAAGCCAATATTGCCAATATTGCTTTTCAATTGTTCCACAAAATATTATTTGAACCCCAGAACAGGGCACAAGTTTGAATATATATGCTGATGTATAATTTACATTTACTGAAGAACACAAACAATAGACTATCATTAATCAAACAATTTTTTCCTCCATCTGAACAGAAACAATTTTTTGTTATGGGGAAACATGTAGCTAATTGAGGACACCAGCTGTTAGAAAGACAAAAGACTCACTCAGGGATGGATTGGGATGGGATAGGATGAAAAATCTAAATTAGTCTAAATGTGGAAACCTAAAATTGAAAAAATATGTTCATTTCAAGATGAATTTCCAGAGAGTAAGAGTTATATGTGAAACAAAAGCATATATATGTTTGTGTGTGTGTGTCTTGAGTGTTTTTTGATGCACCCTGTCAGCCCAAATATGGGAGGAAGAAATCTTTTGCCTATATCAGCCCAATCTAGGGATATCCACTGGCAGCAGTTGCTACTGCAACATCATTTGTGCGCTAAATTTTTTGGGATTGCTAACAAAGAGTTAAAGGGGGACTGAGATAGCTATTTCAAGCTAATTATTTCGATATTTCGAGCTGGTTGATGAGAGCTAATTAGCTCAAAATAGCTATCCCAGTCCCCCTTTAACTCTTTGTTAGCAATCCAAAAAAAATTAGTGTGTGTGTGTGTGTGTGTGTGTGTGTGTGTGTGTGTGTGTGTGTAGAACAGCATTTCTGGCAGGTTAAAAGAGAGGGGAGCTTCAAGTGAAACAATATTTACTTCCTAAATTCTATTATTTTTCCTTCCTCCAGCAGAGGACATAATGTTATGACTTGCAAAGCAATTGTTAAGTTCAGATTAAGGGGTTCAACGCCTTGAAGTTATTTGCAAAACAGGGCTACTAATATAAAACATTTTATATATAATTGGCATTCAAACCTTTTTTTTAAATTTCTCCTAACATTTTTATAGCATTTGTTTATTAAAGACCACTTTGTTCTTTCCTATTTACTCCTTCAATGGCCATTCATTAAACCTCCAAGTCAAAATTTATTTAAATATTTAGGACAGTGTTTCTCAACCTTGACAATTTTAAGGCATGTGGACTTCAACTCCCAGAATTCCATAGCTAGCAATGCTGGCTGTGGAATTCTGGGAGTTCAAGTCCACATGCCTTAAAATTGTCAAGGTTGAGAAACACTGATTTAGGAGTTAAGAGATATTTGGTTACGTGAGGGATTTGTGATAAGACCAAAAGACAACATATCATAGGCCTGTGTGTGGTAGCTCAGCTTTGCCTCAGAGATGTGCTTTGTGACAAATGGATGTTGTAGCAGTCCTCCTGGAGGTAAAAAGACAATGTGACTTGTCTGAGTGAGATGTTTCTACAAACTTTGACACTTCAATCACAGTTCCAACAGGAGGTAACCAAAACAA